AACACATGATAAATTGTGTTGTAGTACTATTATTTGTATAGGTATAAAATTATAGGTGGTGTAATAGTGTGTTAGGTACCTAATATCACATTATAATAGCAACTGTAGTCTATAACAAAACATTGAATTTATTGTATTATTTATAAGAATTAGGATTTTGAGTTGATACCGCCAAGGCCTGATTATGCGAAAAGTAGCTTGAAATTAATCTCAATGTTCCAAAAATGTCATTGTGTATCTAAAATAATATACCTATACAAAAATTTCAAGCCCCAGCAAAATGTAATTAAAACAAAATAATTAAAATAGCTATTTCGTTTAAATATTTAATTTCTTATAAATTCAAACTTAATAAAAATAAATTATGTTAATATATTATTCAGATTTTTTTGGTTGAAATACTTTTAAATTTTCAGTGGCATCATTTGTCTACATTTTTCATACTTAAATTTTTCCATTTCATATAGATTTGTAAGAGTTCAGTGATATTACCAATCACACATAATTTCTTTACACTATTCATTCTTTTTTTTTTTATAAATTATAAAAAAAATTTTTTGTGAATTTTGATTTGAAGCCTATAATAATATTGACTATCCTTATGATATTACAAATTCACATAATAATTACTTAATTGAAATATTGAGTCTAGAAAAAAGAATAATATGTACATTTGTATTTTTGTATTATTAAGAGTAGATACAAAAATAACGTATGGTTCTTGTAAATATTGTTGAACTTTGACAATTTATACTGAAAAAGACTAATAAAATAATCCCAAAAGTAAAATAGTAAATTTAATAATATTTAAATATTTGGATACATGATGTACGTACACCATGAGTGGCATGAGCTTAAAATAAATTATTTTGACAAACAAAAACTGTGTTTTGCAGAATAAAAAAGAAATAAGAAATAACATCTAGATAGTAATGTAATATAAAATAATACAAAAATAATAATTAATTATAAAAAAAATATACAATAAATTTATATAAAAGTACAAATAAACATATATATATATTGCTTCTTTCTTTGTGCTATTTTGCTTGATACCCCATATTTTACATGATGATTTACTTATTATTCTATACTTTTAATATTTATTTCATTATAGTTTAAATAATTTTTTCTTACTTTAAGATTTTTTAGTCCATTGTCAGACATCATTTTTACTTACAAATACATTTATAATGTCTTCCAATGTATTAACTTTATTTTTCAATCTTAAGTAACATTTTTTTTAATATTTCGATAAATCATTAATAAGTTCTTTTTGGTTCTTCTGGTCATTGAAAAACTACTCATCCTCTAATCACCAAGGACCTATTATACAAATTTTGTTCTTTGCATCATTGACATATAGCATTTGATTACATCTAAATTATAATAAAGTTGACTCCGTTTGAAAAAAAATGACTTTTATTACCAACCGTTATTTTAAAGGTGTCAATATCTAATGAATAATCAACTGATTTTTGAACCATGTCAGAATCAGTAATAACAGACTGAATTTATTGGGATATGAACATTTAAAATAGTTGGCTCAATAACATTCTCTGCAGAATTTATTGTATCATCATGGTGTACTTACCAAAATAAAACAACATTCGTATTAAATAATAGATTATGTATATTATTGACAAAAGGAAACATTACTTTTTAACAGTACTAGAACACAATCATTTCCTATCATTTTGCATTTCTTCTTGACGAAGTTATTTTGTTCCATATAATCAGAATATAATCAATACAATTTTAAAACTTTATCAAGATTCAACATCTTTTTCCATTTGAATAATCTTGTTGGATTATTTAGGAATCCACAATTTTATAATAAGTTTGTTAGGGGGATTCTAAACCGTGATTTTCCGTCTTTGTCTAACACACAAGACTTTTCCACATTTTTGATTTTTTGATTTTAACCACCAAAAATTGAAATGACAAATTTGTATTACTGTTTTTTAATATTGAGTTTTTAGGAATTTGTAGGTTAATATCAAAAATGTGGGAAAGTCGGTCTCAAGTAAACTAATTGAACAATTCAAATCAGTTTTCAGAATTCTTATCATTTCACTATATCAATCGGTAGATTTGGCAAAAAGTGCGTCTAAAATCCTATGTCAACTGGAACCCCTTAACAAGAAAAAGGTTGTAATTTAATGAAGTTCTAAAATAGTTCACTTACTTTTGAAATGTTTTAATTTAAATTATTATAGACCCATTTGTGACAATCACAACATTAAATATTAATATTTGCAATTTTTTTTAATCACAAGTAACAGCAAATATTATATATAGTTTTGTTTTTGCAGTAGGTGTAACAGAATTCTAAAATGTAGAATAAATAAATGGTTTATCTACAAATATGAAAATCAAATACCGCACATATGTCATCAATTTATCATATTATACAAAAATGTGAACAGTCTCGATTTTTTATCTTTTTAAAACCTCAAAAATACTGTTGCCTCAAACTATGATGTCCCGACCATGTTATTATGTTATTCTGTTTGGCCGTCTATTAGTGCCACGCGCAGTACGCACAAGCTAGAGGCAGCCCGGGCGTTGACCGTTCTGGGATCGATTGGGTCAAGGTCACCCGAGATAAAAGTCCTACACGACTAACATGGACGGCTCATTGAGAGAAAACACAACTAACAGAGAGGAGCGAATGAAGTATTACCAAAGAGAGAATAAGTAGTAGAGTACATAAACAATAATATGTTAATTTATATTAATGTACTATACGTACTTAAATTAAATTTTATTGTGTCTTTCTCTCTCACTCAATACCTTAACATGCATCACTCGTAAAATATATGATATAATAAATAATAATAAACAATATACAACTTGGTAGCCGTGTTTTTACTAAAACGTTACAGAGAAAAAAATTATGTTTAAAAATATGCATATTTCTAATAATACGGTTTACAGGCAAAACACCAGTTATAAAAATTTTAGACATTTTTATCAAGACTCGTAAGAAATGTTTGATAGTTTTGTTATTTATTTAGATAATTTCAACAATAAAAAAATAAAAATCATGAAATATTTGATGATCGAAAAGGGATACAATAAATTGAAGCTTTTTAAGATATTAGACCAAATTCCTTTCTACAATTTTGTTTTGTTTTGTTTTTTATTGAAATTCCCTTCTTATTGAAGTGAGCAGTGTTATTGGATGTTCAAAAGAATTCTTTTTCCGTAAAAATAAGCGTACTCGATACATAATGATCAATGATCATCAACCACCATTGCACGACAATGGCAGTACCGTGTAAAGGTAAAAACCAGTTTTTCTATCTCTGCCACACATGCCTTATATACATTAGGTAAGCAATATATTATGTGTTAATTGTTTATACCCATATGATAACTTCCTATTTAAATCAGTTTAGAAACATACAATTGAACACATACATTTTATTAACTTTAAATCAAAATCGAAATTTCTTAGGATACAATTAAAATGTTTTGATATCCTAGAATATTACTATGAGTAATTTATTTTTCTATTAAGAGAACCCGCATATGTTGTATCCGTCTTACACATGTACGACATGCCAAATTTTTGTTCAACAGTTTCAATAGTGTGCTGTTAGTTTTGATATAAGAGTGAATTGACCTATTATAAAATTCAAAGGTAAAATTATTATCTAGAGCCCCACATAGGCTTTAATTAATATAATTGTTTTTAAGTACCTAAGTGCTTAAGTTATGACCCTTTTAAAACTATAGTTGTGGTCCTATTTTTTTATTTCATGCTTCATATTGTTCCAACATAATATATATCCTGGTCAGTATTTTTCTGTTTCATACTTTTCTTAGCTTTTTTTAATTGTTTCAAAAAAATATTACCCCGTAAAATACTATTATTTTAAATTATCATTCTTAAATAGATTAATATTCCGAAAAAAATATTTTCTTTAAAATGACAGTTCCGTTTAGATGTTTTCCATATTTATAAATGGCCGTTATTTTATGGACGCGAGCTGTATCAGAAACATTATAGTAACGCGAGAAATCGCATTGCTTGACGCGGTATGCAGCAAAGCACATCCGATACAATAATAAGCTCCCCTCTAATAAGCTGGACCCAGAAATGAGTGGAAGGTCCAAATACTGTAAATTACATTTACTGTATTTGTTGGAATTGAGCAATGGACAGGCCAAGGTAGTCACAAACCGCTGCACCGTCGTCTAATCGCAACGGTATCTGTGGCCTTCACACGCGAACATTAATATTCTATCGTCCTCTTAAATTACGTAGGTGATGTCGTTCCAAATTGGCTGCCATTTAAAAAAAAGCGAACGTTTAGATTTTTATATGTAATGTTTGCGAAAATGACTTCATATTATGATAAGAGTAGTGAGGGCAACGCCGTTCGTGGAGGGTTAATACTTAATAATTGGTCATTGTTATGAAACTCGAATCATGCGGCTTGTAAATAAATATGCCAACTGTTACCATTGTTAACCGCAACATCGTTCCGTATTATATTTTCCGTCTTGTTTAAATGTTAGTTTCTCTGTCACTTCAGTGTGAGTGAGAACGTTCGTCTCTGGGCGTGACTTTAATGCCTAGCAGTTTGAGGTGAACGCCCTGATCTTGGTGTACAACGTACACTGTCTGGCGTCCGATGTCTACGCATGCGCGCTAGAATTAATCGATTTTACAATTTATAATATATAACTACAACCTTTCTATCACGAAACCATATCATCCAGCGCGCAATGACCGAATGCTCTGTAAATAAGGTTGTATAACGTCTATGTATATAGGCTATTTTTTCATAACGAAATGCGCTCGCTGGTTGTAAAGCATCACGGTCTTTGTCGCATTTTTTTTGTTTTAGTAGTTGTACATAATATTATAGTAAACATAATATACAATAATTTATCGTCGCTACGATGGGTGCAACACTGCTTCGACAGGCTGCCGTAGTACCTTACAGCACTGTATGCCTAAGCGTCAAACAATCCCGGGACGCAGCTCACTAGCTGCTGGCTGCTCCTCTGCCAGTGGCCAGTCTACAATAGCACAATCGAGACGTCGAGTGTTAGTTATACTTTTCTATGGTCGAGTGTCCACCGCCTACCTAGAGACGACGCGTTGCGAGCCTTTCTTCAGACTCAGCGAAATCAATCATCGTTACGCCTTTGCCTGTCCTTCGACGCCGTTTCGCTGGTCCACCCGATCACTCGTCTATAAAAACCGCACTGCGAATTGATTGTGTCTTCGCACTCGGTTGCTGCCCCGTCACGCACTTATACACCGTTTCACGGACAAGTCGCCACCGCCGGATACTGTATCTGCAAGACTACCGCAAACGTCGCTATTGTGACCCTCTCTCAGATTCTTCGAAGGTATACTCAATCAGGTTTTGACAATTATTTAGTGATTTTTTTGTTCGACAGTGTTATCATTATCACGATAGTGCCGTTTTGAATTACTCGTCCTGGTCCTGTGTCTTTTCTTACCACACAAAATGGCTACCGCTGTGGCGGATGGCGATTGATGAATGAGACTCTGTAGTCTGCAGCGTATTATTCCGAAACCCGAGGTGAGCTCCAACTTTCCCGCGTAGTTTTCTATTATTTTTCATATCCACCTATATAATAGTAATCATAACCTAATCAGATGACAGGTATATTATTTATTACTGTCGCCCAAAAATCGATAATATGCTATCCGATCTCGTTATCTACAGTTCACGCTTACTGATTGACAGTGCCGTAGCTGAGGGATAGGCGTTAAGGCATAAGCCCCCCACCACGAAAAACATCCTGGTTATTGGTTATTGGTACTGCTGATTGTAGTGATATGTTCGTGTCCAAGACTGTGGGTCTTAAAATCTAAAATTGATACCACTGTGACTGTAGGTACATTTGATTTTCTATTAACCTTCATTACTCTCAGACAAAAGCAGGACGTGTATTCGACATCTCCACAACAAAAAAATATGATCCTTTTCAAACAGATCTCGTAAACGACTATATTTCATCATCGATAAAATCGTGGAAAATTCGGTACTGTAAGGCAGTGGTTCTCAGCCTTTTTATATCTGCGTAGCACCCACAAAATTAAAAAAATTAATACTTGACAAATTAACCTTTTTTTTTGCTTATCAAAAGTATAGGTATACGTTATTTTATAAGCACTGAATATAAGAACTACACAAGTATGATAATATACACATTTAATGCACTAAAATAAAAGAAAATATGTTCAATTATTATATATGTGATTATTAATATCACGTTAACATCTTTATATTACTAGGTACATTATATATGGTTCTTAATTAAATGTCTGAGGGTACTCTAGGAAGGGGGGAGATTAACCTAGTAAAATACTTGACTAATACAAAAAAAGGACATAATATCTCCACTTAGATGTTTATTTTCAATTTTTTTTCATTGTGTTATTACTAATTTCTAATTTATATAATTTATTCAATGTAAATTAATGTATAAATAATAAGATATAGTGAATGAAATATTTTCATATCATCATTATATTACATATGTAGTCATAACTTAGAACTTATAATATATCTACTAAATATTATAAGAATTAAAATATATATTGTTAATGCTTAGAATCTCTAACTCTCTTCAACAAAATATGGATGAATTTAATGTTGATATTTTTTATATTTTAGTTTGGTATGAATTGTAGCAAACATTTTAATTATAGGTACCTTCCCTTTACTGACTATGTATTAAAAATTAAAATAGATCTTATAAAATCAGATTGAACTCAGAATTTATTATAACCTAAAATATTAATACTTAAATAATGATATTTAATAATACTTAATTTAATACTTAAATATTATAACCTAAAATATTCAAAACTTAAGTACACAATACTTATATTGCTTGGTACATTTTTGTGGTTTAAAAATATTTTAAATTAATAAATTTAAAACTATAATTTTGAAAAATATTATATTTATGTAAATAAAAACTAAAAACATTTTTAGATGACATCCATGACATTTTAACATGAAATGTTCATGTACTTATACATTCATAATTATTTAGAGTTAATAGTTTAGATGACTGAGTTTTGTTTTTAAAACATAGTGTTCTATACCTCATACTATACCCTGCCAGATTAATAATAAAAAAATTATTATCATATAATATAATACTTGAAACTAAGAAAATATTGATTCAATATTCTATAATTTTGCTTTATATCCAGAGAAAATTATTACACTTATGTTATTATTAAATAAATATATTCAATTACTTTTAATTTAATTTTTTGTAGGTCAAAACAATAATTGGAGAGAAACATTGAGGTAAATTATTATAACAAATATATTTTTTTATTTATTTCCGGTTTTGTGGAATGGCATAATATGTTGATTTTTTTTTTAAATAATTATTTAATTTTAATGTGTTCACTATTATGATGTTGTATAGGCTTACATGGTTATTATTTTGAGTATAAAATTAATTGAACTATTAATATGTTAATACATTCTGTTTTTAATTAAACTTACAAGATCTAAGGTGCAATGTCATTAGTAAATTGTATTATTTAATAATTCTGTTCATACTATTCATCAACTCTAACAATCATTTTACTCGACTTGTCTGTGGTTATTTCCATGATATCTACATGACTCACAACTCTTTACTACACAATTAAAACTACTAAGCATTGCAAATATTTGTAATTTGTATACCTATAAACCATAATATTTTCATCAAAAATATGTGTCTTGAATTTAAGAATGAAAAAAATTAAAAACAACAAAAAATATTGGCATTATACATTATATCTTACTTTTATCCATAAGAGTGAGCAGGCATTACCCTCAAGGTAATCATACATAACACATTGACATTTAGCATTAACAAAAAAAATTGATAGGGTAACCTCATTTGACTGCATTTACCATTGTAAAAAAGTATTTCATAAGTAATATTTATTAAAATAATATAGTGTAATTAATTTACCTAAGTTAGTTAATGAGTAAAAATTTAACATCACTATTTTATGTAATAAACATGTTAGATAAGTTTTTCTTATAACTTCATACGCCTTTGGGCTGGTGTGTTGATTTTTAAATTTTCGATAACTTCATCTACATCTATATTATAAGCCATATTTTGCTTGATGAATTTAGCTTTGAGAAAGAACGCTCACATGAGCAACTTGTTACTGGTATAACTAAAAATGATTTAATAGCTTTGAAAAAAATATTAAATATGGCTATTCTACCAGAATTATAATTTGTCAACAAATGCATTCATTCTTCACATTATTTTGGGTTTATTTCTTTAAGTACATTTTCCATTTTTTTCGGCAAAATAATTTCTGATTCTAACTCATGAAAATCCAAATTAAAAGCTGAAGCAAAAATATTTGTGTCTTCAATTGTAGTTTTTAATTTAAGCATACTACCAACACTTTCAATTAACTCTAATGTTTCTTGTTTGAAGTGCACACTAAAACAAAAAATCATTTGATCTAATGTGGTAAAATACATATTTATCCTCGTTGCATTTTTTTGTTTTTTGACATAAAGTACAAGTTTCATTGTAATTCATTTTAGAAGACACTCGTCTTTTTTTTCATAGCAGGGAAATGTTATTCTCTTCGCACTTTTCAAGAGTTTTATTTTATACATTTGTAAATGTATCTTTGTTATTTCTCAGATACCTTAGAGATAGTTTTAATGATTTTATGAGAGACTGTTATAAGATCCAATTTTGAACTTTGTAAAGCCATACTTACTTTTAAAATTAGAGTCAAGATTGGGTATAACATCTGTTGAGCAAATATAAAATAAAAAGTTTTCATTTGATGAATTGAACCAAGAGCTTTGGCTCTAATATCTGGTTGGTTTGTAGCATCACCAATTTCTTTTATGGCAATTAATATAGGTCCATAGTCTGATCTTACAACAGAAACAGCCTCAGTACGGCAAGCCCAGCGTGCACTTGACACAGATTTTAATGTTTTCAGGTTTATACTTGCAGAGTGAGCTACTTTTTCAAATGTTGTGTGTATTGTACACCTACTTTAAACAAAGTTATAAATTAATTGTATGGTGCCAAAAAAAAATTGAATGTTACTCTATTTTTGTCTTCCCAATAAATCAAATAAAACAAGATTAAGGCAGTGTCGTAATAATGTACAAAAACTGTTTTATCATTTTTATCTTTAAATTTGGCCTGCACTCCATTCAAACTACCTGACATTGTAGCAGTAGCAGCATCAAAACAAACTGATGAAACTAACAGCCATTGAATGTCATACTGTTCAATGACTTCACATTAAGTATTTCATACTTTGTGCATAAGTAGATAATAGTTTCTTTATGCACACAAACTGTTCTACTGGACAGTTTTTAATATTTTCATAATACTGTACCCCAATTCATAGTTTCTCGTGGTGATCAATGTCGGAGGAACATCAGCAATTATAAAAATGTATTGATTTTGACTTCAATTTATTTTTCAACATTATTTATTGATACAAAAAAAAGTCCTCTATGGACATCACTGTGTTGTTCACTGTGTGAATAAAATGGTTTTCCACCAATACTAAGACACTATATCTATAAGTTGATGCATTATACATCAGTTGTTCTGTTTTTTCCATTTCATTAAGCAACGTTTTCCCCCATTAAAATTATATCTATTGACTTAGAATTTAAAAAAATTGTGTTTGATGTTACACTGTTTATATGTAATTTAGAACATTAATGTAACTTATACTTTTAACTAGCCATTTTATAATTACTAAAATCATTTTTTGAAAATGTAATATCTGATTGTCTAGCATTGATTCCAAAAAGATTTTTAATTACTCGAAAAGGAAAACAAAATGCACAATAATTTTTTGGACTATACTCAAGCCTTGTTAATTTTTCATACTAATTGTTTTGATAGCTACGTTGAACACCACTTAATATACTCCTTGGAAACAATGTCAACACGGGTAGAAAAGAAATGGCCTCTTAAAATCGGATCATTTTGGTCTAGAAGATTTGTCAGTAAAGAGAGTTTAGGATTATCAGGTTGCAATCCAGTAAAATCCTCATTAATTGGAGCTGTTACAAGTATGAACAATTTGATATGAAAATAATTTTGGGAAAAGAAATCAAACCAACTATTTTGAATTTATTGAATTGTTCAGTATTTCAATACTACCTACATAGAAATTATTCTTTTATTTGGTTATTAATAAGTATATTAAAGAAAAAAGTACACAACTAAAACATAGAAAATTAACTACGATTTTACCAAATAATAGGAAATACCAGTAATTATATACAAAATCATTGATTATTAACTTTTAAAATTCATACTTGATACTACACCTCATTTATAGGAAAAGAAGGTTAAGCCACATTGCAATCAATAGGTATACTAGATATAGGTACTACTACTACTACTACTACTACTAATAATAATAATAATAATAATAATAATTAGATTAGGTAATAAGTAAAATTAAACACAAGGTAAAAACTTACTAAATCATGAGAGTATACTACAACATAAGCTAAACATGTGTTATAATTATAATGTATATATTTTACAAGAAAACATTAATAACATGGATCATTCATATATATATATATGATACATATACATTGTGCATAAATAGACATTGAACTGGTAGGTAACGTTGATTCACATATTTTGTTTGTCTACAGCACAACAAACTACACAAATTAAATTATGAACAGTTTTATAGCCTAGTATAATAATTAATAACTAGGAGTTAGATTCCGGTGCAAAAGTATCAAGCATTGGTGCACGTTCAAATACATCAAGGTTTATTGAAGATAATGAACAACTTCTTTTCTCTAAAAATATATGCTTATTGTTAAATTCAAATATTGAAAAAGTTACCTTTTACTACTAAATTAACTTAGTTATATGGCAATAATAATATTTTAAACCTAGCAACTATTACTTTGATTACTGATAAGTAAATTGATATAACTTTATGCATCAGTACTTAAGTGTTTCAATAAATATTGTTTAAGACAAAGCTTCAGTTATAAAAATATATATATTTAACTGTTTTAGTTTAGTCACTAAAATTATTGAGTTATAATATTAATAAGTATAGTTAATTTAAAAAACAAGTAATGATTATAATTATGTTCCTCGATTATATCAACAGAATTCATACTCACTGTTAGCAATATGTTGCTCAGGCACTTCTTTTCTAAAATATTCTTTCAAAGTTTTTTCATTCATATTTAATTCTTTAATAACAAATTGTATTTATATTAACAAATATTAAAATATGTTTTTAAAAAATAATTACAAATGGCTTATAATTCATTTTATATTGTATACTGTAAAATAGTAACTAAATAAAATATGTATAAGACTATATCAGATATTAATAATTTTATTATTAGTAAATATGATAATACTCTCTAATCTGTATTTCTGTCTATTTTCTATGGTAATAGCATGACGTACTGTTGTGATAGCAGATTTGCTAACAACGGCTACTGCAGCCTGCTGCTGATACAATTTGTATAAATTATTTAAATGATATATATTTTAAAAAATTTTCAATATTCTTATTTTTTACATTAATTTACTATTTGTGAACTTGTTGAAATGGTCAAACATAATATTATGATTATTGAATATATAATATATAATATATAAGTTTGTAGAGTAGTGAGGTGTCAACCCTGACTACCCTGTGCGCACGCTTATGCTTTTGTCAACAACAAAAATTTTCAAATATTGAAAATTTTTGAAATTAAGTGTTCAAATAATCAATCTTCATATTATATTATAATTATTCATATAATAAAAATTTAAATTGTCATCAATACTAATTAAAATGTTTTCTTTTATTTAATGTCAAACAGAAGGAGAAATTTCAGTAATATTATTAGTAAATTGTATTTATAAGTAACTATAATAAGTCAAACCTGATTTTTCATTGTAAGCTCGATTGTTTCTGATTTGGCAAAAAACATTGTCTTATTTATATTTTTTTTAAACTACTTTCATATACCTAGTTAAATTTAAAAAAAAAATTAAGTAAAAATGTATTTTTATTTATTTTCAGATTACAAGTCACATTGTTCCAAAATGGCCACAGAAGTAACACCTCGTAAAAAAGTTGAGTTCTATATTATCAACCATATACCCAGACCAGTATGCAATGTAGTATTCAAAAATCTGCAATTTTACCGCCATGTACAAGAAATTGTTCAACATCCGGTGGCTATTTATTGTTTTCCATCATATCAGCCTCATGTGGCACAACCAGAAGGTACAGACCTAATAAAGAATACAACAATTATAAAATAATGTATTTATAAGTTGGTAAATTAAATTTTTTTCTGTTTGCAGGACTCACTCAATTTGAGATACCGTTTGTAGTGTCAGATGTAGTTGCTGGAATAATAGAAGATAATCCTTCAAGTATTAAACTGCAGATCCGATTTGGAGAACAGCTGCAAGGGAAGAGAGAGTTGTCAGAAGGATTACCAGGAAAGGTACAGATTACTATCAATTCCCACGAAACAACTGCACAAAATAGTCCTGTTGATTATAACTGCAGTGAATATTTAAACTTGGAAAATACTGGCATAGAAAATAAAAAAAGCAATGAAATTAAAATATGTTGGCCCTCGTGCAAAAAACCATTTTATATGGTGATAAATATTGTAAATTCAAAAACAGTTGAAGATTTGGTGAAACAAGTACAATTTGAAACTAAAATGTATAATAAGACACTAAAAACAAAAGCTAAAATCCTAGAAATTTTGAAAAATGCCCAAAAAGTTGGACGGAAAAGATTTGGAGCAGAGTTTGCTGCTTCCTTCCCTTTAAAATTGTTGTGTCCAATAACTCAATTAAGAATAGAACTACCGGCTAAATCTTTGAAATGTGAACATTTACCTTGTTTTGACTTGCATACATTATTTTCATTGTATAAGATAAAACCAACATGGGAATGCCCAATCTGTATGATACCCATTGAGGTTAATGAATTGGCAGTAGATTTATATTGTTTAGAAATAATCAAAAGTCCATCTCTTCCTGCAAATTGTTCTGAAGTAATAGTACATGCTGATGGCAACTGGATCCCTATTATGGAATTAAAGAAAGAAATTCTTAAAGACGGTCAGAACGAAGCTGTTATCAAGCAAACCGGAGAATTTCAGTACATTTCTGTTGAAGTGGACGTGAATAAATTTTATGATAAAAATATGGTATCAAAAGCAAATGATGAGAAACCGAATGATTTCAAACCAATGACATGCAATCAGAGTACCGACAATTCAGACATTGTAGATAAACCGTCTACCAAAACAGAATAGAATAAATAATAATGTTAACTAATATACCTACTTTTTAAAATTAAGCACAAATAATAATTCAAGTTTTCTATATTATTCTAGATATAATAATATATTTAAGTTAGATGTTTAATTTATCAATAATGCTATTTTATAGACAGTATACTTGCCAATTGAAATAATAAAGATTATTATATTGTTACAAAATAAAAAATATAACACAAGGCTACAAATTTTCTTTAAAAAAATTTATACTCACTTGTATTTGTTTATTTTTATTACTTAATATAATTATATTATAAGAAATGTTAATCATTAATTTAACTGTGATATTACGTTTTATAAAAAAAAACCACAAGTAAAGCCTATAAAGGCTGTTTTGTGTTTACCTTTGAATAATTACTATTACTAACAATTTGTGGGGGGTGGGAGTAAATTTGTCTCAATAGTATCAGCAACCACGTTCAACTTCATCTTTTCTGACAATATATGGTCCAATACCTAAACTAAATATTTTGAGAGAACTATGGAAATAATACACTTTCATACATTACATTTTGATTTACTATAAATTTATTTATTTCAATATTTAGGGCAGGGAAGATGCCCATGTGACCCTAGGACTGTACTAAATATCCTTAAAGAATCTGGATTTGGATATCCACTTTTGTCTTGGTTTAGATTCTTTCTTAGCAACAGCCAATAGGTACTAATGGGTTAAGTTTTTGATGTAATGACAAATTACTAATTAGTTTCTAGCTTCCTCGAGTATCCATCAAGGGTGTCATATGTCACCAATAATTTTTTACTACCATCTTTTCAATTTTCAAAACATTTGAGTTAGTATTAAACAATTCCTATAAGAAAAGAAATATTAAATTATACTGTGAATGTGTGGTGGAATTATTTGCGTGCTCAACTTTCATAATTTATTAAAAATAAATATAAATGCTAGAAAGTAGAAATAAATGGTAAAAGTTAATACAAATGAGTTATAACTACAAGAGGGAATTTCAAGAAACATATAATATTTATTCATTACTCAATTATTTGTTTAATATTTAAACATTGTGTGTCACCCAGTCTTTAAAAATACAGTCAACTAAGCGACAAAATATTTTCATTGGACGACATTGGTGTCGCTTAGTTAACTAGTTCAAAAAATGCACTAAACAGCAATTTTAAATACTATACTTCATATCAATAATTAAAATAGTTTTTATACTAACCTTTACAAGTGTTTCAATACCATGAGTTTCAGCAAATATTTCTACAGTAGACTATACTTCACAAAAACGCTTATCTTTAATAAGGTGAGAAATAAATAAAAACCGTATTCATTATAGATAAAATTACGTCCATTTCGGCAGCACTGCCACTTTCGAATCTAAAAATCAAACCTTGACAGTATTTTGTACAGTTTTGAACAACCAAAATAAAATTGTATTGGTACCATTAACTTTTTAAGTTAAGTGTTAGGAGTAGAATTGTTGCGCTGTGTTTGTCAAATTCTTATTTTTTAATTATTTCTTTAATTTAAAAAAAGTCCCTTTACTCCCTTTCTTCTTCATCAGCCTGCTGTACCTAAACCTAATAATTGTACAAGGACCTATAAAAAAACAGTATACGTCCTATAATTAAAAATCGAATTTTTTAAACTTTTGACAAAGAAAGTGCTGGGGAAACGTTTCTCCAGCACGCGCAATGCAAAGTCGGATATTCTCGGATTAACAGGAGTTATGGTATTCGAAGGAGAGCTACATATAGATCTAAGAGCGAAAAGAGGAAATTACAAAGCATTTTCATATAGGTCAAACGATATTATGATCACTGGGAAATGTTCGTCGACCTAATGTAAGACCGGCGATACAAAAAACATAAATGTTAAGGTTTTAATATATACTTATTTATATATTTCTTGTTTTTAATAATGTAAACCAACGTTTCTCAAATTGTGTTCCGTGGAACCCCAGGATTCCGCAGAGGTCACTCCAAGTTTCCTCGAAAGTTGTGTTTTTTCCAAAATTTAAAATTTAAACGCATTATTATAACTTAATTGCAAATAATCCTTGCATGAAATAACGAATTAATAATATTGAAACATAGTAATGGTTCTAATTTTCGAGCTGTAATACATAATATATTGTTGAAAAAAAAAAGTTGGAGTTCCACAATGAAAGTGCATGTAAAAAAGGGTTCCATGGATAAAAAAGTTTGAGAAACTCTGATGTATACAAATAACTACCAAGGGGGTGGCTAACGGGCTTTAGCCCCCCCCCCCCAAATGGCTAGCCCCAAAACATATTTTATTAGATTTATTATCAATTGACACTTGACTTTAAATTATTATAAAAAAAAAATATCAACTATCGAAATTTAAACATCAGGTATAACATAATATTATATTATATTTATACCTGTCATTCCGGGCCCCGGGAGAGACCTCTGTTGTTTAATATTATCGTCGCGACGTCGTTAGTTGAAACTGTGTACTGCGTGTAGGATACCGGAAACGTCTAGACTCTAGATTATACATTTTTATCTATACAATTTAGTTTATCTCAAACCGCAGGTATCTTTGCGACAAATTCCACTTTCATTTTATTACCTATTTAGTAGATTAACTGGTATTATTGTCGTTCAACTGTTCAAGTCGACATCGTTGGTTTTTCGCGAGCTTATTTATTTATTTGTTTTTAATTGTTAATTAACAAGCTTTAAGATTTCTGCACATATTTCAAAATAAATACTACCTATTAATATAAAAATTTTTTGAATTTAGCCCCCCCCCCCCAAAAAAAAAAAAATTCTGGGTGCGCCCCTGATAACTACTAACATACGAGTATAAAAATTAAAAAGTACAATAAGGTTTTATTTTACATTTAAATATATGCTTTACATCCATACTTTCTAACCTCACCCTTTGGCCTATCATTTTTTTAAATATTCATAAATAGTTTAATACTTTTATTACTACTAATATATTAACATTTATTCATAAAAAATTTTAAATTAACATTTTAAACTTTTATTATTATTATCACGTCAATACAAATATATAATAGCCAATAGCGTGTTAATAAAATATCATTCAAAAGACTAAGACGTATGTAAGTATTTTCGTGGTAAGTATATGTACCTTTATAGTCATATATAGTGCAGGTAGCTATACTATTATCTTGTAGATAACAAAAGTTGAATGGTAATTTATGTAATAATAAAGTACCTAATGAATTAGAATGGTATAAGGTACTCCGAAGTCCGTAACACTGACTATTCAAAAACGAAATAAACATTATACGTCCTATAAGTTTTTTCTAGGTGCTTGTACCATTATTAGGTTTAGGTGCAGCTGGCCGATGAAAAGGGGGGGGGGGAATAAAGGGACTTTTTTTAAACTAAAGAAACAATTAAAAAATAAGAATTTGACGAACACAGCAAAAATTCCACTCCTAACACTTACCCTACGGCTTACAAAGTAAACGTACGTATGAAACAGAAACTATTTTAATTGACAGACTGGCAATCGCATTTGTAATTGCGTCATGCGGTAAAATGATACTTTTTTTATCGTGTGAAAACGTTCTACATGCAGCCTCCAGTATAATTCCATTAATTTTAAGTTGTAAATTTAGGTACCTAACTCGAGATTGAACTATCGTTTTTCATTCCAAAAATTGAAAACTAGGTAAAATAGGAAGGACAAACATAAATTGTACCCAATATATTTCAGGTATAAATGTCTACATAACACATAGTAAATTGCACCCAATACATTTGCAATAGCTTAAAAATAGAATAAACAAAAAATAAGGCTCCTGCCTATATTAATATTAAAATCTGATACCTGTATGATTCTCCTCCTTTATAAATGCTGGAGAATAATACCTGATGCAAGTATTGGCGTATTGCAATTATGTTATCAGTGATAATAATAAATTTGTTTTTGTACATAGACTGTATATACGTCAATAAAATAAGGCGATTAATAGATAACTACGTAAGTTATTTGTAAGTTATTTATTTCTAAAATTGAAATTCAATAATTATAATCGGAACTTAAACTCGTTGTCATTTAGAGAATTTTAATTTTAGAGCTATGGTGAAAAGGACCAAATTGTCTTAAAAAAATTCGATCTATCAGAATTTGGAATTCAAAACACCTGTCGCCATTTTAAAAAAAAATGCAAGTTGTATTGCGCATGCGCACACATAAAGAACTAAAAATGTACAAATCGTCAAGAAATGTGTATTTATGTATTCCCTATCTCCTCCCGAAAACCGCATATCAATCTGATGTCACTGGACAGAATTATTTAGTGTTACCTTTAAAAAGAAACAAACTGTATAATCGAATACATATCTTTCTAGTACAGCTTCACAAATTACCACTAACATGTCGTCAGACGATGCACTGTTGGTACTTGGTTCAGCTAAAAGAGCTTAAGAAAAACGAGGCATAGTTAAGGCAGCGCTCGTCCACATGAAAACTTTCGTTCAGAGTTTTGATCCAGCGATAGAAGCTATACCTCTCTTAGAATTTAGGCAAGGGAGCTTCCTAGGGTTAATAAAAAATTTGACGATATCCAAACTCAAATCGAGCTGATTACGGTTGATGACTTAGCTAAGGAAGAGGAGGATCGTGGCAGATTTGAAGTTGAGTTTTTAAGGATGAAATCTACAATGCAAGAAATAATCAATACAGAAAACGTTTTCAACAGCAGCACGCACAACTCCTCTCTTAAGGGGATTGGAAGCGGCAATTTTCTTTCTCTGTCTAACACACGTGCAGCATAGCAATTTAGACGTGTTCTAGTTGAAACGTACCGATCGATCTATTGATGCGATAAGGAATCTAAAAACAGTTTTGAATTCATCGTCAAGTCTACTTTGGATCGACTTTCCCACTTTTTTGATTTTTTTCCCCAAAATCCAATAAATTAGCTTTGAGCAAATTAGAAACCTAAAAATCATCGAAAGTTAATTTTTCGATATTCTTAGCACAAAATTTCAAAAATGTGGGAATGTCGATCTGTAGAATATTTTGCGACGAATCCAAATCTGTTTTCAGATTTCTTATCGCATCAATAGATCGATCGGTACGTTGGAAGTAAAAAATTAAAAATTGAGGTACACTCAAAAGTTATTGTTATAAATATTGTTTGAGTTAGGTACGTCAAAATAACTCAAATCTTTTTTGTAAAGCGGCGTATTTACGGTTTCTCGCTGCTTTAGGTATATCGTTTGTCAATAGTACACATCCACGGCCCGCGGCTGTTGAATAATAATATTACGTGAGTATACAAAAATAAATAAAGGGACGAGTAATTCACTATATATATATATATATATAACAATTATTAGAATAACATCCATACAGCGTGTGTAGATAAGAACACGGTGAGCAGCGATCGTTTACTATAGCCACGACAAATACCGACGTTGTACGAGCAATCCTGAAGGAATTAACACACACTAATGATAATTTACTACTAACACATACACACTGTGTAACGCGTATAAAATATAAATGATGAAAATGCCTATACACAATCCCTTAGTAAATCGCCGCTTCCAAACCCCTTAATATGTCAACTACTCAAGCACGTGTACAACTACCTCCCATAAAATTGCCAGAGTTCCATGGTAATATTCAAGATTAGGAATCGTATTATGATTGCTTCAGTTCTATGGTGCACGTTGACGCCGATACCGATCCCACGAGTAGTCCGGTTGTAGGCAACGACTTGCGTAAGGGATTGTGGACAAGGAAGCGAAAGGGGTTACCCGACATGAATCTAATAACCACTAGACCACATCTATACCACATTAGGTTAAGAATACAACGGCAACACAGCTTCAACAGCTACATTCGCACCACCATTTCGTATGTGACCACGTCGCCGTGCCTAAAGCGCTAGATCAGCCAGTTGAGAAGGGCGTAACCGTTTTCCGCCAAATTGACCCTAGCCCGTTATCACCATGGCCGTTTTCCGCCAAAGGTTATATTCCGATTTCCGCCAAAACGAATTGATAAAAAAAATTTGAGAACCCCTGAACTGAATCCATCAATTAGTAATGACTCGATGTACATTGTACGCGCCTCACCTTGTATCACACACGCGCTTCACCCCACACAGATATTGATTACAAACTATTATCTATATTTTATCTTACTATTATTATTCACCTATTTAAGTGTAGGTACCCACTGTATTTTCCAAAGCATACGCTATTATATACGAATTGTACGTAAAACCCGTATAAGTATAAATATCACATGTTAAACATCACTAGATTTTCGTCCAAATAATACATTATTATAAAAATTAAAATTATATGAAAAGTACACATTCGATATTTAGGTATACTATACAAAAAAAAAGTATTTTTAGTAATTTCACATGTCTGTCGTCCAAATAATAAATTATTATAAAAATTAAAATTATATAAATAGTACACATTTCATTCACAATATTCATTAAGTACACATTTCATTCACAATATTCATTATTTACTATACGAAAAAGAGATTTTTTTGACAAACTCGAACCTAGTTAAATGCCCATGAATGTATTTTTGAATGTATTCTTCATTTTTTTTTTTGTCTCAAATGAATTATATTTCGTGGAGTTTTCGGTTGGTTCACACTTGACATTTTACAATATACACTGGTTTGTACTTCATTAATCAAGGTCTGAACCCACGTAAATATTGAAGGTGAATTTTTATAAAACGATTGATTGAAGTCGGAATGAAACGATTCACATGCATTTGTGGTTCTTGTCAATGCAGAAGTTGGTTCTGCCCATAACTTAGGGGGGAACGTACTTGTATTTAAAATGTAATTGTTCAATAAATATTGTGAATACGCTAGAACGCGATTATCAGATGGACACTGTGGCATAAAATCTTCCATAAAACAACTCATTACTTCACTTGGATTTAAAAATAATAAACCAAAGGTATACCTTAACCACATACCAATATTACACTTATTTTTATACTCGGTAATTAGCCCTAGAGATTGAATTTGTCGATACCATGCTTGAGTCAAGTGAAATCGTCAACCAACTACATTCATCCTAGGCCAAACTTCATAAATTGCATTTAGTATAGCTTTTTCAAAATCACTAGTTATATTAGTTGGTAAAAAAAGACGACCCATATTATCACACAATTCCGTTATTTTTTGCAACATATAAATGTAAGTCTCTGTTTTTTTGTCTGGCAGCAAACAAAATACAAGTGGTACATAATGCCCATTTTTGTACCCATGAATTGTATACATTTGAGTAAAAAATCTAGCACTGTATTGGAAAGTGCCATCCATGTATATAGTTTGGACATCACATAAGAATTTTAAGTTTTTTGCACATGAAAAAATCAAAACATTTTTAGAATCATCGTTTAATAATAAGAACGGTTCACCTTGCATTGTCAAAATGTTCATATCTCGTAAAGAGTCGTGCACAGATTGTATAGAAGTTGGATTAGCCGGAAGAATTTTTCGTCGGCTTTCATACATATTTTTTCGTACACGATCTACGTCTTTAACTGAAATATTAGTACATACGCTTTGTCCAATTTCCCGTAAAATTATTTTTTTGGGCCTCATACTTACATCTTCTACTGCTTTACGCTTACAGGCTGAATTGATAATTTGTCTGTCAATTAGACGTCTATCGATAGCACTATGATCTGCTGCATGACTTCCTTCAACCTTGACTAGTACGTAATTCGTTTTTGTAAAAATTTTAGCAGTACATTTTTTCTCGTAGCACCTCCACCGAGTAATGCCGTCTTTAGATGTATACGCATGTATAAATTTAAAATTTTTGTATATTAGCATAATATTACCGCGGTTACTGGTTATCACTTCAATATTGGGTATATTCTCCGACATTATAGAAACTTTTTTATAGAACGCGGCTTCAACTGACAGGTGCATACTGATAGCGAACAATAATCCGTCAATTATCCGCGGATATCGCTATAATAATAGCGCGTACATTGAATCAACACTATTTGATTTTGATGGATTCAGTTCAGGGGTTCTCAAAAAAAAATGTATTAATTTGTTTTGGCGGAAATCGGAATATAACCTTTGGCGGAAAACGGCCATGGTGATAACGGGCTAGGGTCAATTTGGCGGAAAACGGAAACCCCCGTTGAGAAATGTGACGAGTGGCTAATTACAATAATTTGTATGCGTTTAGGCAAGGACACATTGCATGGATGGCAGCTCCATCAAAGGAACACACTGCTTCTCAGGTATATTGATCTCGAAGAGTTCCTCGCGAGTCGCTGTGTCGTAACGCAAAATTCTTATACATATCTCACCATACCTAATCAAGAGGAAGAGGACAATTCAGTACCAAAACAGCCAGAGCTAACGACGACGGCGAGAAAAAATGCATCGGCTACAGCTACAAAAACATGTAGTAGAAGCATATGTTTATTGCCTTGAACCTCATAGGCTGTATCAATGCGATAAATTCAGAGATGTCCCCTAACAAAAGAATAACGCTCGTACGTGAAAAAAGGCTTTGCTTTAACTGTTTCTCTCCATATCATAGAGTAATTTCATGCAGATCAAAGTTTGTTTGTCAGAAGTGTAAAAGGAGACATAATACTCTCATGCATTATGAAAACCAAGAAACCTCAAAAGAAATTGCTGAAAGAGTTCTGAAGAAAATGCTGGAGAAGTTGCTAGCCCAAAGGAGGTGACAAATACAGCAATGATGGCGCATCACAAATTTGCGCGTGTCTTTCTTATGACAGCAGTCGTTCTCGTAGGTTAAATTCGGACAGCAACGTGAATGCAGGGCAGTGCTAGACAGTGGCTCCCAGGTTAACTTCATTTCTAAGAAGCTAGCAAATTTATTGATATTGCCTACAAAAAAGGCATCCTTACCTATAAGTGGCATAGGGTCCACTGTAACTCGATCCACTCCATATGTCGAAGTAAGCGTCAAATCCAGAATGAGTGAATATCAGTTAAGATAAGTCTGCTGCGTGTTACCAAATATGGTCACGGATATAGCTTCATGTGCAGAGCCTAAATATGGTTGGAAGGTTCCGGATGAATTGTCAGGAGGCCTCACAGATCCACGATTTTACCAGAGAAGAAGCGTAGATTTTCTAATAGGTGGAGGCGTTTTTTTTGACATAATCGAATCAGAGCGTAAAATGATCGGTACAGGTCCGTTAAGCTTGCAGTTTAGTGCCTTGGGATGGATTGTGACTTCCGAGCTAGGAGTAAATTACTTTCTAAGGACAAATTCCCTAGGTGAAGGCATGGAGAGCAGTTGGCGGACAGAATTAGTGGATGATTGTGCTAATTTTGGGCAAATATCAAAGAATAACCGAAGATCATGAGAAGAACAAGAGGTAGTAGAGCATTTTAAGCAGAATACTATTCGTGATGATGAAGGGCGATTTTTAGTGCGTTCACCAGTAAAGCCTTCAATCAATGAATTAGGTTCGACCTTAGCTATGGCGACATCGTGGTATCTAAATATAGAAAGAAGACTGCAGCGAGACGAAGACTTGAGAAGAGAATACACACAGTTCATATAGGAATACATCAGTATGGGGCACATGTAAGAAGCCACCGAAGTCATATCTAACCACCAAATCGACTGCTATTTACCAAAGTATCTTGCTTAACTACAAAGGAAAGAGTAATGTTCGGCGCATCAGCAATGATGTCTTGAAGTGTGGACCCACGGTTCAGCAAGAATTGTTGTCAATACTTACGGGATTTCGAAAACATCAAATTGTCATAACAAGGGATGTTGAGAAGATGTTCATGCAAATAAAAGTAGCAAAGATAGATTGGAGGTTACAAAAGGTTCTCTGGAGATCGAGTCCTGAAGAAGAGTTGTGAGAGTAATATCTCACTACAATTACATATGAAACCATATCAGCTTCCTTTCTAGTTATACTGCCTTGTTACACTAGGTAAGTCGACTTAGCAATCACACCCAGCAGCATCGAAGACGACTGTGGAGGACTACTACATTGATGATATAATGACAGGCGCCGAGACTGAAGAAGAATGCTGTCTGTTGCAAAGGGATATCAGTATGATCATGGATTCTGCTAAATTACCTTTAAGAAAATGGTGCTCAAATTCTGAATTCGTACGACAGAAACTATCAGAGCATGAGGAATCACCATCACTCGCATTGGAAATTGGAGATCAAGATCTAGTTAAGTCGTTGGGATTACAGTGGCAGACAGTTGCGGATGAATTTCAATTCAAAATTACGCCGAGAGAAAATAAGGGACACTTGACCAAGAGGATGATATTAGCAGAGCTAAACGGAATATTTGATCCACTTGGTTTCCTGTCACCAGTATTGATAAAGGGAAAGATATTTCTCCAGAAATTGTGGGCAATGGAAATTGAATGGGATACTAAATTGCCAAATGAAATTCAGGAAAAATTGAGACAATTCTACCAAGAGTTAGGGCATCTAGAAACCATACGAATACCAAGAAAGGCAAGGCCTGAAATCAGTGACGTGACGGTTATTCATGGATCCTACGATGCTTCAGAAGAAGCATTTGGGACTAGCTTGTATGTGCGCTCGCGAAATATTAAAGGAAACTGGCATTCCAGATTTCTCAGTTCATAGACGCGAGGCATAGGCTTAGATAGCAGCTGGCCAGCCGTGCTCCACAAATTGTGAGTTTTTCCGTATTATTATTATTATTATTATTATTGTTGGGCCAGAAAGGCCATTTTTTATAATCTTGTGTATTATTTTAAATCTGTGATATAATACAACTAGTCAATTACCAATCAATTTTGTTACTATTTATTTGAATTACCCTGCCATTAGTTTTTAAGCCTACACGCACACACATATATACACATCTACACATCCACCACACACTTGAGCTCTCGAGTTTTGCTCGGCGATCCTGTCCACCTCCCTTGAGTCACTATACACCACGAATTAAGATATACAGGATGCCGAACGAGGGCTTATCAAGTGAAGACGGAAGTTTCCAAAAATCCAGAATAACTTACAGCGCTTTTTAGCCACAGTGGCGTTTAATGAACTAAAACAGTGCTACCATCTATCAAGAATTATAGTTTTACGTATCTTTATCATAAAAATTATCATCATGTTAATTTCCCGCCACTTTTATGAAATTGTATTAATGTTGGATTTGTAATTATTACATTATAAAATGCATTATGAATATTATGAATATATGTGAATAAAGATATAAACTATGATAAATTTACTAATATTTTATTTTGGTATTGGGCATGATTACATGAAAATTAATAAAAAATAGAGCTGATAAGATATTTGTGGATAAGCTGACTATTCATAGTATACAATATAATGTCCTCATGCTTGTATTAAATCAACTGATTTTACTTATTTAAACGATTATAATATAGGCTGCGAGCTATTAATTATTGATGTTCGTTTTATAAGGAGTCAATTAAAATAGTAAATTGTTATACCCAAATAGTATACCAGGTAAGTATATTTAGTTATGTCCAAATATTACCCTGTCAAATGCTGTGTACCACATTGTACATCAACTGACAAGTCGAGATTTGGTATACCAAAAGATTTGTTTTTAAAATGGGAGGAAGTAATAGGTGTACCATTAAAACCAAATTTTAAAATATGTGGAGCTCATTTTTTGAAAAATGATATTGTTAGTACTTGGGAATCAGGAAGCAAGAAAACAAGTTGTAATGCATGTTTATCTGGAATAAAAAACATTGACAACCATTCCAATACACAGGCTGCAAAGCTTCTTAACCTGAAGTCTCGTGGTTACTTAACACATCCTGATAGCAATTTTTTCATGCTTCTAAAACTAATTGAGAAGTGTTTTGTCAAACACAAAGACAGTCAAAATGTGTTTGACGACACAGTTGAAGAATTTTTTAATAATAATTACCTGGTTCCTTTTCCGTGTGCAATCCACAAAGAAGATATGGTTGAATTTATATTTACATCATATATTGCAATGAGGATGAGACAATATGCATACATGACTAATCACAAAACAAAAAGCACTAACAAAGTTAAAAAAAAAATAGCCAAATTGGTATCAAAATAGTTTTTAAAAAGTTTTATTTATACAAATTGAATATTGACACTAGTAATTAAAACCAATAAAAAAGTATTTTACATACCTATCAAATGAATTATTATTATATCAAAGAAAACTTTTATTGTACCTATTATAATATTATTCATTTGTTGAGAAATATGTCTTGTATACCATCTTAATAATTAATATTTTACTCATGATTTTACTTATGTGATTATGTTTATTATGATACTTGATAGTCGTAATTATACAAAATTAGTTAAGAATTTCGCCACCGTAACCATTTCAGCGCCATAAGTTAATTTGGGAACCTGGAAACTTTCGACTTCACAGAAATACTGATAACAGGCTGTCGTTCGGCATCCTGTATATCTTAATTCGTGCTATACACACATACACACAAATAGACAGGTCGGTCGGTGTGTGAGTGAGGTTAGGAGAAAGCAGCGATCAGATAAACGAGCTATTATTGTTCCGTACCTGGCACGCACAAAGTTATTACTAGAATTGGTATCGGATGTTCAATACTATTTTCCATCACATAAACGACGAATTTTCTGTAGACATTACTGAAAACTGATAAAAAATTAGTGAAATTATTGGAAATTTGTTCAAACGCAATCATGCAGGTCGATAATCGACAAATATACTTTATAGAACTGTGTATGGTACGATGTGGGCATATGACTATCTTCATAATATCTGAACTTTTCAATTACCAAGCTAATCATTTGATTTTCAAATTTTTGATACGGCAGCCATTTAATAATATTTGAACTTAGCACTTTAAATTTTCTAAAATAATTTAAATGAAAAGAATTTTGATGAATCAGAATAAAAGTTACTATTTGTATTAATTATATCGAGTCATTCATAAACAAACTAGAGATTAGATTTTTAGATCGCCATAATAGTTTTGAAGTTCGGTTCCTAATTAAATTTCGTTTAAATAATGCGAAAGCAGTTCCCGCGACGTCATCGATTTCAAACTAAAAAAAAAGTTCCTAATTAAATAAATTTAAACCAGCCAAGTCCACGACCTCACTCCATCTTCAATCTGGTACCATATTCCAACGCAGCATAAATCCGTTGATTGTGCATCTCGAGGGTTTTTTCCTAAGAGCTAGTGAACCATCCAATGTGATGGAGAGGCCCTCCAACCTCCCACTTAAGGTTACCATCATCAAAAGAAAATGAGTCTGATATTACTTCACTTGTCGAATAAAGAAAATCTACTGTCCTCAGGCCCTGATTTAGTGAAATAGGAGCCCTGTGCACTATAAACTTTGGGGGCCTTTTTTAACAAAAAATGTAAAAAATAATAATAGGTACATATTTAACAATAAAAAGTTCAATTCATTTATTTAATTATAATAGACATTTTTTTCTTGTTTTTTTTTGCAAATTCAGCAATTATGTCTTCAAATGTTAACTGTTTAGTAACATCATGGTTGATTGCCAGTAATGATAAAGAGTCCAGTTTTTCTTGTGTTAAAGTAGAGCGCATTCGATTTTTTTATACGTTTGAGTACAGAGAATGAACGTTCACTACTACAATAAAATTCGTGCACGGCATTAATAAATATATTTGTAACATAATGTCCAAGTTGGGAAAAGTATGGTGAATATTCATTCTTCGAATATATTTCAAACAATAATGGGGATCTTGAAAAAAATTATTACCGAGAAATGACTTTTTCAACTGGCTTATTAGTGATTAGTGTAAACCGTATGAAAACTACGCATGCTGCGGCGGCCTCCTTTGCCCTGTGCTAGTGCACCGCCTACACATGCGTAAATCAGGGCCTGAGTCTGTCCTCTTTAACAGTAAAATCCTTGATCATAGACTTACTTGGTCGATTCTCCCCTTTGGGAAAATTTCTTCGAATCATAGGTTAGGTGTACCTTATATTTTTCGATTCTCTCGGTCGCGTAATACAACTCGATTTTCAACAACCATCAGTGCAGATAAATGGCCCATGAACTAACTACGCTTATATTTTTTCCCCAACGAAATGTGCTCATCGCCTCAAATTAAGCTCTGAAGTCACCACTGAAACTTTTTTATTAGAATTTACACGGTTTGCAGCTCGCAGTGGAACTATTCTAAAATACACAATGATGGGGGGAATTAATTCACTGGCACGTCCAAATTACTCACACCATTACTCTTACTCACTCGCTCTCAGTAGTTTCAAGATCGAGTGCACGACCCATTATCAACACTATAGACCAGTTGGTATTTCAGCTCATCAGCATTTCTACACTTTGGTGGTGGACTGTGGGAGACATTTATTAAGTCCTTTAAAACCTTCTTCTCCCGACAGTTAGTGACCACTTCTTAGCAAGTTAGCACCATCCTCACTTAAATCGAAGCTACGCTTATCTCCTGGAACTTAGTGCCACAAGTAATAGACTCAAATTGCTTAGAGGCTCCCACTCAAAGTCATTTCTTTACTCTTAAACCTTTAACATAATTTCCAGACCCAAACTTGGATGTTCTCAAAACTAATGAGGTTTACCATTGGCTCATTTCCGATACATTATGGGAATCGGTGAAAAAGTGAACATTTAACCACTTTTCAACTTCAGAGAAAATGGACCGACCACCGCTGAGCATTGGTGATCCCTTACAAGAATCAATCCAATCCAGGGCTTGGAACCGAAATAAAAAATACCTGTATTTTAACCAGAACCTTTTGAAAATATTGGAACCGGAACCTTACCGAAACCCTTTTTTGATTTTCTTAAGAACCTAAACCGGAACCGGAACCGTTATTTGATGGAAGAGAATTTTTAGGTTTTTTCGGTTCTAATTTTATTCAATTGCTTAATATATTTAGATAGGTAATAAACAAATAAATATTAAATAATAATAGTTGGTTCATACAATTTGGTTGATACTTGATGTTGTAAATGTATACGTGTATTTATAATCTAATATAGTTTAATAATATAATAGTTTAATCTAAGAGTATAATAATACAATAATATAATCTAAGAGTTCCAGAAAACAATAAAATATGAGCAGTTACTAAAATAAAAATATATAAATAATGAATATTGTTTTGGATGAAGATGTCTGGTAATGTTGATGAATGATGTCTAATAAAATGATTATTAAAACGATAAAAATACGCATCCGTATAAATAATTGTTATCAGATTGTGACATGGACTAATAATTATTAATTATAGCTATTTATTTATGTATACATAGACATAATCATGGTTGAAATGTACATTAATAAACATTAATTTAGGATCACATTAAGTACCTTTTATTCAAAATATTATTTTTATGGAAAAAAATCTTTATATACCTATTGTGTACAATTTCTGGCATAAATTTCAGTACCTACCTAGTTGTAAGTTCAAACTGAAATCTGTATCTGCACCTTTTTATTGGCATTTAATTTACAAAAACCAAAAATTTAGGATAATAAATCGAGGGAGAGTCACATTAATCATTTAATATTTTACTCAGTTACTTCTAAGGTATTAAGTAAGCAAACAAGTGATAAAAGCAACTAAAGAGAATATAATTGTATCAAATTATCCGATGCTCTAGGACCACTGACTTCTTACAACACGAGTCAATACGTTTTTTTAATATTCGTTTTGGCTGTTTTTGAAACAAATTAGAGAACATAAGTGCTTTAACCCATTAAGACAGCCATAATATAGATAATAAGGACGATGTACTTAATAATGCGATATACTCTATTTTGTTTTTACTTTTTGAAAATAATACAAACCCCTCTAAATACCGGTATTTACCGGTACCGGAACCGAAACTGTAATTCTATGATTTTAAGAACCAGTACCGAATTTTTTTTTTTTTTTGAAGAACAGCATTGGAATCGAAACCGAAAAAATCATAAAGGTTCCAAGCCCTGAATTCCAATCATTGCATTAGCGGCTTGGACGTGTTCAACAATTTAAACAAAACTCTCATTCTACAAATTAGTTAATTTAGTAATAAACAATTTTCTCTATTTAAAAGTAAATTATTTTCGGTTATCATAAGCCAGCAAAAAGTTATTAGCTCTATCAATATCATGTATTCTCCACTCCCACTGGTGGGAGTTTTAGCCACACCAGAAGTTTAATTTGATTATTTGCAAAGCCAACTTCCTTCCTCCGGGGTATTTGATAATATATCTTGCAATAAATCTTCTTAGGTTCTTAATAATTTTAAATTTCAATTATAATAAAAAATGTAAATCAATTTTTTAAATCTGTCACTGTATTTTATTAGAAATGTATTAATAATATGTTTACAAAAAAGGAACAATAGTCAAAAAACAATTCAGTAGTCAATTATAAGACACTTGTTTTTTTATATGATTAAATTTAAAAAAGTTATTTATAAATTGATAACAATTTGATATGAACTAATGCTTAAAACATATTATTACATATTTATGACTAATAGGAGTCTGTATAAATCAAAACACTTTAAAGATAATTACATTTTGGATTTAACAATGTAAAACTTACAATAAAATAGGCAATAACATTTTGTATAGCTTTTGATATCAATGTGTCATAAACTTCTGCTTAAAATAACCTTATATAGTTATGACTTATTTGATTCCATTTAAATAAAAAATTACATTTTGGTTACAACAATTTTAAAATTAAAATATCAAAGCAAGAACATTTTGTAAAGCTTTTCATGATTGGGATCTTTAAAGTGAGGAATAAAATTGATCGAAACTATTTCTTTAATACCCTCTTTTTTGGTTGGTTTTTGAAATTGGGTACTAAAAAATAATAAAAACACAAATTTAATTAATTTAAACAATCATGAACGTATGTACTACATTTGATGCTAGTAGTGCTGAACAGCTTATCTCACAAATACATGATTTTACAAAAAAAAACCACAGATAATGATTATATAATAATTATAATTATGAAATAATATTAAGATGTTATGTATCATTTAGATATGATTTATTTTAAATTGTTGACAATTTTTACTAATGGCTGCTGAAGTTAATATTAAAACATATAGTAAACATATAGTTATTTCTTAGCATTGGCCTAATTAATATTAGTTAATACATAGCAACCAAAATGACCTAATCACTAGCGTAAGGTTAGCTACTCTGTTTTAAAAAAAATTACTTGGATATCAGTACTAAAAAAAAATGATTTTCCATTAGGTGAACAATTCTTTTTTTAGGCCAGTTCACCTTTAAAATATAAAATTCTAAAATATTTGATGTAATAGAATTAAATTGAATTTTCTAAGGATTTAGTTGTTCTAGTACTAAACACAGTTTTTCTTACTGATAAATTTGAAAACATTTTTTCATTTATATTGAAATAAAAATTATTGCAATACCTTATAAGTTAGCTACTTGCAAAATGAAAATTAAACAGCTAATATAAAATATTTAGCTAAAACAAAATGCCCGATTGAAGTTTTCTAAAAACTGGAAATCTGCTAAGAACTAGATATTAGGAAAATATATAATTAGAGTTTGATTAAAATATTTTTCATGTTGTTAACTTGTGTGCTAAATTTATAATAATTTACAAATACTGAGACTCAAACTGAAATTATATTGTTTCAAATTCCAAAAAAATAAAAAAAATACTTTATAATTAGCATTTAAATAAATAGATATTAAATAGGTATAACATTAAGAAAAATGTTTTACTTTTTATTTTTGAATACATAATATCTATTTGATGTTGTATATATTTTAAATAAATATTATTTAGAAGTTTTTATATATTGAGCTATGTTAGGTAGGATTAAGTTCCAAATACTATAATAGTTCAATAAGAGTCAACTGCATTAAAAAAAGATTTATCTTAATAAATATTTTTTTTAATGTATACTTTATACCAATACAATAAACCTTCATATGGCTAAACAATAAATTACATGGCATGTACAATTATTACTCTCATACTTACAAGTATAAATCAATTGCGTTTTCCGATACTTTCGGTTGTAGTTTATCAGTTAATTCTCGAAACTATAAAAAAAAAAATATATCAAAACTTAATTAAATAAAGAAAAGTCGGTAGTATATTTGCAGAGATATTTGAATTAAGCGTGAATAAGTAATTGTTAAAAAATAATATACTAAAACATAGTAATGTGAATCATACTTCAATTAGTATTTAAATGCATAAACTTTGTGAAATACAGTTACACAGATTATAAATAATATACTATACAAAAGTTATTTAACTCAGTGAAAACCAAGGCTGAATGAAGGAGTTGAATAACTATTGATTAAATGGCGAAATTAATAAATCTTTTCTTTTAAAGTAACTTCTAAATGAGTTATAATATCTGCAATATAAGTAACCAATGAGCTAATTAAATAAAAAATGGCGGTCCCAGATAGTCTACAAAAGACTGTCCAAAAGATTTATTGGTGTATATAACAGGAAAGTCATAATTTCTAAATTCTCTTTTTTTATCTAATTTATTGTAGTGATTATCTCGTCTAACATGTTTCAATAAATGCATTATTACTATTTTTTTGTAAAGGTACCTTAACGGTAATACACCAAATTCCATGTAATTTACTTTTGTAGATCCCGTAATAGTAAATTATATTTTCATATACTATCAAATTGACTTATTGTGCTTAGCTTAGATTGTAAAAATGCAGTTAAAATCCTATAAAATGTACAAAAAAAGATTCTAAATAATGACGGAAAACCAAGCAACTCCTAATTGCTTCTATGCTGTCTGCATATATTGTTAAATATATATTATACACTTATGTATAGTGATATAATTGCTATTAATGTTATTTATTTTACTATAAGTAATATGTTGGATAGAACAAATTTATGCAGAAAACATCATATTTGAAAATGTCATTGAGTGTATAAATTACAAAAATATACTTGAACTACCGACAGATAATTTTTTTCAAATTACAACAAAAAACATAACATTTTTATTCTTTGCCTTAAGTATTAAATATATATCATACCTTCTTTTTTAAATAATTGTTTCATATGTAAAATACAATGTGTTCAATTTATTATTTAAGTTGTAAATACGTATTAGTTTAAAATATAAAAAATGTATACTTAAATATAGTAAATAAATTATAATTGTATTATTTTTATCAAAAACTCTATGGTTTAAAAATGTCTAGAGATTTTTCACTGTACTTAAAATATAAAATATTATTTTTACACTTACTCTGTTATTATGTTTAGCGTGTTCTTTGGAAACTTTCATTAAAAACACACGACATGGGATTTTTAAATTTTTAGCTATATCAATGAACTGTTTTCTTGATTTTACATCCTGATTTGTATGGTCAATCACTACACTCACTCTACCATTACTTAAGTACTTGGTAGTTTTGGTAATACACTTTTGCCATGAGCCTAATGTATCTCTGTTTATTATTTTTATACGACCATGACAGAATAATTCATTAGCTGCAAAATAACTTTTTCCTGAACCAGGACAACCAACCATTATGATCATCTAAAAATTAATTTTAATTATTATTAAAATAATAAATTGCACATAATAAAGAGGGCTTACTTCTTTATGTGAGGTAAATAAAACTGTGGACGATAAATCTGTGTAGCGGACATTAGACAGAATGCCATTTGGATTGAAAGCAGGTAATGCAAAATCTTCTTCAGTAGATTTTTTCCAAAAGTATTCTTCAGGAGTATAAAATTTGAGACCAATATTTAATGCAAATAAACGATCACAACACGAATGATCTTTTTTAATTGGCTTACTATCAGAATCAAATCGAGCAGGCCGACCTGCTGCACCACCACAAAAAAAACTCTTATCCATGTCAACTGATATATCTCCATTGAACTAAAATAAGAATATATGAATATTATTTATTTAATTACATTTTAAAAAAACCAATAACCTTACATCAGAGACCAAAATATTCCACATTCCTGGTGCAGGCATTTTGTATATATCTTTTTGGGTGGCAATAAATACTTGAACTGGTGCTTTAATCAATTTAGGGATATTTTCAATTGTATTTTTAAGTGTGTTTTCCTTTTCTTTATTACCAACAATATCTCCTTGATAAGTAAACATCACTATTTTGTAACCATCATCTGACAATTTTTTAATAGATTTAGTAACTTCAAGGCTACACATTTGGTAGTCATCATCATCGTCAAGGAAAGCTTCACCAGACAGAGCAACAATAAACATTGTATCCATATCAAATGCCGCTATCTTAAACATTTTATAATAAGCTAAAATAAAAAGCTTCTAACTTAAATAAACAGTTTCAATTAATTACCACTTACCTTATCCGTAAAAACAATATTTGGACTATTAAACACTAATAATGTACCATCTCTAGTATCCCATCCCAATGTAGAATTTGACGGAGGAGTTTTAACTATAATTTCTTTATTTAAACAAATAGTGTTATTTTTACTGTAGTCCATACCATAAGTAGGTGTTAAAAAATCCAAATGATAAGTGTGATTGGTTTTATACAACAATGTTATTTTGTCTCCAAGATTTAAGAGTCTCTTTTCTCCTTTTATCATAGTTTGGTCATTAACAGCTGACCTGCTTTTACCTAATTGTTGAACCCATACTCGAGACACAGAATAATCAGCTACAATTTTCACTAAAATAAATAAATTAACTGACAATAGTTATTTAAATCAAATACTTAGATTATATAATATAATATACAAGCATGCAATATTAGTATATGATTTAATTGGATTTCAAAAATAATATGGGTTAAAATAATAGTGTAAAAATAAAAATAATTTTAATTTATTATTCAACATTAAAATAAACAAATAATTTATGAAGTTAGTATTTATAATAAAATATTTTTAAAGCAGTAAAAATAACTATTATATAGGGCAGGGGTGTCCAACCCCCAGTCTGCAGGCCGTATGTGGCCCGTGGTAGATTTTAATGTGGCCTTCACTTCAATTTAAAAACCATTAATTAATTTTACCTATATAATATATTAATAAAATAAAATAACACTAAAAACATTAAACATCAAATAATATTCCGTGTCATTTATCAACATAAAAAAAAAAATTCCAATATAGAATTATTGCTAAGCATATTATGTAGGTCATTAGTAGTATGTTTTAAATAAAAGCTGCCTTTGAACTAAAACTTAAATTATGGCAAAGTCAAGTTAAGGTGAATAATTTAATGTATTTCTCTGTGTTGGCCAAATACAATCCCAAGAATAGCGAGAAATACGCTTCTTTGATTTTAATTAATAATTAATTTTAATTAATATTTTGTAAGAATAGTCGATTCTTTGCTATTTTCTCAGCGCCATTTTTGGTTGATATTACTGCTGTAGAAACAAAATTTCAAACAAATCAACCGAATCAATTTCAGTTTCAATCAAATATTCAACTCAGAGAAAAATTTAATCAGTCATCTTTATTAGATTTTTATAAATTATATCTACCCAAAGAAATATATCCATATCCTCCATGGCTATGCCTTATTCCTGTAATCGCTTTTCGGCAATACCTACATTTGCGAACAATTGTTTTCAAGAATGAAAAACACTAAGAGTAAAAATCGGTCCACAATATCAGCCAAGCACCTTAAAAGTTGTTTAAAGATAGCCACAACTTCAATCGATCCGGATATTATTTCATTAAGCTCACAAAAACAGCAATTTAAAATTGTACATTAGTTTTATCTTTTTCTAATTAAATATTAATACTTGTAAAATAATTTCTGCCCATTATTCGCTATTGTAAAATTATAAAAAAATGTATTTTTGAATTATAGAATATAATTTAATCATTATATTTGAATGTATTATTATTAAAAAGTATGTGGCCCACAACGACTTCTACCTATATGATGTAGCACAGTCTTCACAAAAGGTTGAACAATGAACACCCCTGATATAGGGTACATTTCTGTTTTACCAAAGGAGGTCTTACATAACAAGTCGAGTGATGTTTTAGATTTTAATTAACCGAGTGATGGTCTTACCACGCTGGGTGTATATGAAAGTACTAACAATTTCAAATAGCTATGACTTAAAATCTTTATTCGACAGCCAAATTCTGAATTAGCCATTGCTTTCGGCAAGCTAAACTACATACGTTAAGACAAAAAAAAATTACAAAAAAGGGTGTCCGATAAAACAGAAAAGTTCCTTATAGAAAGTAAATAAAATAAACCTCAAACAATATTGATGTGAACAACATTATATTGTACTGATTCCATTGAAAAAAATATAAACGTAATAAAATACATCATTATGATTTAGTTTTGTTGGAATTGTAACTAATTTAAGCATCGTAGCAACACCACAGGGATATTTATGTACATCATATAATTATAATTATAACTACATGATCATCAAATAGGAAAAAACAAATTAAAACATACTTTAGTATAGATTAAACATTAATTATAAATAAACATATTCTTATGGACAATATATTGATACAATATTTTATTTACTTTGCTTTTTTGACATCCTGTAGTTGACTATTCCTGTCTGTTGTTTTTTCCCCAATATTAAAGGTTCATTATCCAGTAGTACAAATTTTTTATCTGGGTATTCATCAGATACTATAACGCAAAACTTGATGTTGTCGTTGGTCTTCAACTCTGACATTGTTAAACTGAGAAAATATGAAACGTGTTTAAAACATGAACTACATAAACTTATGACAACAGGTACTCAATAATTAAATCTTAAAAATCAGTAGTTTGTCAATAATTAAAAAAATTAAATCATTTTAAAAATTAATTTGAACATTGGTCACTAGAAGCGATATTCAGCGATATTCAGAGTCAGTGAATTATACTAGTACTTAAACTGTACTATAGTATTATGGTGAAGACTGAGGAGGTTATGTCAGGTTATTTATAATTTATATAAATAAAATTTAGTATTTCATAGGTAAGGTATAAATATCCCACCTCGCCTACAGTAATTAGTCAATGAATTAATTTTGATAACATAATAATAACGAAATATAGTAACCTTACCGCAATCAGTTACCAATATTGTTTGCCGTTTGGTGGTGAGTGGTGACAACGTCTATTACTCTATTTGTCTACTACCGCGGGGAACAGACCACGTTTATAATATTAATATAATTTCAGGTACTACGTGTTACGAACTACGGATACTACGGAGTACGGACTAGCCGAGTCACAGCCTTCTGCGACGGTCGTTCGTCTATTATCGTATTCTGGTTGGCCGTTGTTATCATTTTAGTATCATTCATTCAAAAACTTTACCAAAAATGTGTAGCTTTGCGCCCATAGAGTAAGACTCTATGGTTGCGCCGCGCGCCGATGTCCACTGTTGCCGTTTGCTCGCGAGCATGACTTCATAAACAGGACGTATGTCAGCCAACTATCGTATTTTTCCTATCACTAATGCCGGGTTGCATGAACAATCACTAAACATTTTAGGAATAAATAGTGAGCTAATGATCCCTTAAAACATGGTTTAGCGCCCCATGGTTGGTCCATTAAATTTTTTTGGGCGTTAAATTAATAATTTTTTCATGCAACCCAGCATTAGACTAAGTGCCTTAGACTTTGAATTAACGGTAGGTTACATCCCAAATACATTGATAAAGATATCATGGTTAATATTTCATTCGATTTTTCTATGTCTAGAGCACAGTTTATGAACAGAACGATTTTGCTAGTAACAGCCTGTTTATTTAGTCATGATCACCAATACACGGCCCGATAGTCATCGTGGTTACGTAATTTTGGTGAGCCCGGCTGAAGAGAACTCCACATCCGCAGGTGTCTTACAAACGCTTAAACGGACGTTATACGTATATGTGTTGTCTCCGTCTTACAAGAGCGTAACATATCAAATTTTACGTTCAGCAGATCAAGTTCAGCTCATATATATATTATATATATTAGGCACTTTATCTATGTCTATATTATAGTATGTATAGTATGTAGTCATAAAAGTAGTATATACAACGCAAGTTATATGATACTGGGTATTAGTGTAGGTAATCGGTCAAAATATCCAAGGACAAAATATCCACGGACAAAATATCCAAACCAAAATATCCAAGGACAAAATATCCAACGGTCAAAATATCCAACGGTCAAAATATCCAAATCTTGAAATGACAAATATTAATAATATACGACAATACTAAAAAATATGTATTATTAATAATTTTTTTTTTTTTTTTATTAGCTATCGGTATAAATCATTATAGCTCAACAATTACAATTTTATTAATAAATTTATATTGTGATGTTTATATACATATGTACTATAATATATAACATATAATACTAACATATAATAATAATTGTATTTTAACCTGGAAATTTCACGTACCTACCTAGCTTATCGTTTAAATTATCGACAAGATTAGTGTGGGATTATTATTTATTAGATTTTGTTATATCGTACCTATAGTAGTATTAGTATACTACATTACTATCTTTATTTAGTGTCCGGTTTTCAAACTCCGACAAATTACAGTTATCGTTACGTATAAATCTATCATA